TATATATATATATATATATATATATATATAACATATAATATATAATGTACATAGTATAATGTACAAGGGGGCCCCCCTGGGGCCCCCCTAAATCCCTTGTCATTTTTTTGTGGGGGGCCCCCAGGGGCCCCCATGGCTATAAACGACTATTGGCTAGGGTAGGAGGAGACACTTCTCTTTATTGTCTCTTTTATTAATTAAATTAATTAAAGAAAGGGGATGTAGAGGGGGGCCCCCCTTGGGGCCCCCATCCCTATTGAGGGTTTGAGGGTTTAGCTAATTCGTAAACCCTCGATTCCCCAAGAACTTATAGTAGCGAGTCTTGCCTAATTAGGGTTTGCTAGGGTTTATTAGGGTTTACTAGGGTCTACTAGACTCTATGAGGGTTTATTAGGGTTTACTAGGGTTTATTAGGGTTTACTAGGGTTTAGTAGGGTTTAGGGTTTAGCGGACTAGTCAGACAACGTATTAAACCCTAATAAATGCATAATAACTAAATAAAGAAATAAAGAAACAAACTGTCTCCTTTTTTGTCTCCTTTTTTGTCTCCTTATTGACCTTTAGGGCCCTGAATGGGAACGAGGGCAGCAAGGGGCCCTCCCTAAGCTCCTGCTACGCAGGAGGGTATAGGGGCCCCCCATGGGGCCCCTTCCTGTGTCTCCTATTGCTGCATCATCAAGAGTAGCACCTGTTGGTGCTGCTCCTGTTGCTGCTGCAGCAGAAGCAGCTGTTGGTCCTGCTGCTACTCCTGCTGCTGCTGGGTCTGTATAAGCAGCAGCAGCAGCAGCAGCAGCAGCAGCAGCAGGGCCCTCAGCTCTTACCATCTGTCTCCAACTGTCTCCACTAGAGAATGCCTTACGTAACCTACTAGCAGAATCATCTTGCTGCTGCTGCTGCAGCAGCAGCTGCTGCTGCAGCGGCTGCTGCTGTTGTTGTTGCAGTTGCTGCTGATAGGGGCTTTCTACCAAGGGTGCATCCATACCCCAACTATACTGGAATGGAGGGCCCCCTACAGGGGGCCCCATGGGGGCCCCCACGGGGCCCCCACCACTAGCAAGGGACATACCCGATCTGCTGCGCTGCAGTACCCAACGAATTGCATCTGCTGCTCCTTTAATAATATTAACAGCAAGTGCTGGCTGCTGCTGCTGCAGTGTTAAGGGGGGCCCCTGTTGTCCTGCGAAGAGAAGAGGGGGGGCCCCAGGCGTCATGGGGGCCCCTCCAGTACCCCCTGGGGGCCCCCCCAGGTTAGGGGAAAAGGGGGCCCCCGATAGGCTGCTTTGCTGCTGCGAGCTGCATACAGAGGGGGAGACAGCAGCAGATGGGAAATCTGCATGCACGGGGGCCCCTACCTCTCCCTTCTGTCCTCTAATAGGGCCCCCTGCAATCCCTATATAGGGGCCCCCTTGAGGGCCCCCCTGGGGTCTTGCTGCAGGCCGCCACTCCCCTAAGGTAAACCCTCCCTTCTTAGGGGGGCCCCCAAAGGTACCAAAGGAAGGAGGAGCAGCAAACTCACAAGAAGCAGAACCCTAAGGCAAATAAATACAACAGGCAGCAGCAGCAGCAGCAGCACGAATAGCAGCAGCAGCAGCAGCAGCAGCAGCAACTACGTGGCTCAATAGGATAGGGGAGGGGCAACGTCCAACACAAGGAGACAAAAAGGTGACACCTAACTCACCTCCTCAGAGAAGGGTTGCTGCTGTTGCTGCTTCTGCTGCCACTGCTGCTGCTGCCACTGCTGCTGCTGCTGCGGCTGCTGCAATTGCTGCTGCTGCTGCTGCTGCAGTTGCTGCTGCTGCTGCTGCAGCGACGGCATGCGAGTGGCATAAATTCCAGCTGCGCCTTCCTGTCTTTGCAAGGGATTCTGCATCAGCAGCATCTGTTGCTGTTGCTGCTGTTGCATCTGTAGTTGCTGTTGCTGCAGGAGTTGCTGCTGCTGCAGCAGCAGCAGCTGCTGCTGCGCATCTGTGCTGCATGCAACTTCTTGGGACCTTGTGTGTCTCTCATTAAACTTCGATGCAGCAGACATCACAATCAGAGGTGTTGTCGCCAGAATAGGACCTGCAGCAGCAGCAGCAGCAGCAGCAGCAACAGCAACAGCAGCAGAAGCAACAGCAACAGAAGCAGCAGCAGCAGAAGCAGCAGCAAAAGGAGCAGCAGCAGTAGCAGACAGAGAATTCCCATTAAAAGCAGCAAATGCGGATAGTCCTGCGGCCCTCTGAACCTACATGCTGCTGTTGCTGCTGCTGCTGCTGTTGCTGCTGCTGCTGCTGTTGCTGCTGCTGTTGCTGCTGTTGACGTTGCTTAAGCTGCATGTATGTTCAATGGTGGATTGTCGGTCACCAAAATTGAATTAGGGTTTAGGGTTTTTCTTTTTAGGGTTTAGGGTTTACTAGGGTTTAGGGTTTACTAGGGTTTACTAGGGTTTACTAGGGTTTAGGGTTTACCTAGTACAATTCCTTTTAATCCAAGAGTAGATAGACCAAGAGCAGCAGATAGACCAACTAGCCAAGGGTTTGCGTCAGGTATTTCTCTGTATATACATGTTGTTACGTTCCACCATACTAATCTGAATACAAACCCTAAACCCTAAACCCTAAACCCTAAACCCTAAAATAGAGTAAAATCGAATAAACCCTAGAATATAAACCCTAAACCCTTGATCTCTTTTCCTGTTGAGAAATATACATACACGCTAAAGATAAACCCTCGAGGGTTTCTGTGGCAGTAGAGTTTGTGTATAATTAGGGTTTAGGGTTTAGGGTTTGTGTTAGGGTTTATTGTATCTTACGCATTAGCGCCTAAGACAGCAAGTGCTTTGAGTCTATGAGGTGCAGCAAGCCAAGGTCCCCAAGCCTCATTTGCTGCTGCTGCTGCTGCAGCAGCAGCAGCAGCAGCAGCACCAGGAGCAGGAGCAGGACTAAACCCTTCATAAGTGTCTCCTTGTAACCATAAGACTAAGGAAGGAATTAAGGAAATTGTCTCCGGAGGTAATAAAGGTAATAAGGCTAATAAGGAGGAGACAGCTGTTGGTACATATACTACAGGCATACCCGTACTCTCAAATATAAACCATGTAAATAAGCTGCATATACACCACAAAACCCTTAACCCTAAACCCTAAACCCTAAACCCTAAACCCTAGAAAACCCTAAACCCTAAAAATATATATCATATACCATCACCTCCAACCATTCATTTCTCCTTTATATTGGTGTTGCATTTACATCTATTTAATTGTTTAAGGTGTATTAGGGTTTATTTGTGTTATTATTAGCTAGGGTTTATGAGGGTTTAGGGTTTAGGGTTTATTATATACCTATACAGCCAAACTTTTTTAACAGGAAAACAAATCTCTAATTTGTTCATTACTATATATTAGTGTTGCTCAGTGCATATTAGGGTTTAGGGTTTAGGGTTTGTCTAGGGTTTAGGGTTTATGAGGGTTTAGGGTTTAGGGTTTACCTATAGAACCAGACTTTTTTAACAAAAGAAAAAAGAATAGATCTAATGTATTCATTAATAGAAGAAGATAAAATACCCGATTATATATTAGTATTTGTCAGTGAATATAGGTTAGGGTTTAGGGTTTAGGGTTTAAGGTTTAGGGTTATTTTAGGGTTTAGGGTTTAGGGTTTACCTATAGAACCAGACTTTTTTAACACAAGAAAAAAGAATAGCCCTAATTTGTTCATTAATAGAGGAAGATAATATACCCGAGGGATCAACAATAAAAAGAAAATTCTCTAGATAATTTAATGAACTTTTTTGTGCACAAAGAAGACCGTATAATGCTCCTATAAATACAATTAGCTGCATATATACACCCCAATAATATAATTCTTTATTTATTTATTTATTTATTTATTTATTTATTATTTACTATATTTTTATTTATATTCTATTTACTCCTGCTGCTCCTGCTGCTCCTGCTGCTGCTGGTGGTAGTTGGATGTTCTCATGCCCAGTAGGTGTTGAGGGAAGGGACACAGGTGCTAAACCCTAAACCCTAAACCCTAAACCCTAAACCCTTGTTACCTGAAAGAGGAGATCAAAGGCAGAAAGGAAGAATCGGAGAAGAAAAGCAACAATAAAGCAGAAAACCCTCCAAGCCCCAAACCTGCACACAACCACCTAAACCCTAAACCCTAAACCCTAAACCCTAAACCCTAAACCCTTGCCAGATTATTATATATATATTTTATAAAGTATACAAAATTGGCTAAATTGCTGCACCTGCTGCTGCTGCTGCTGTTGTTGCTGCTGCTGCTGTTTCCTGCATGCGTATTTCTCAGTTTAACAGCAAAAAAGAAAAAAAAAAAAAAAAAGAAATTTTCTTAAGAATTAGGGTTTAGGGTTTAGGGTTTAGGGTTTAGGGTTTATGGAGTTCTTACCCACTATTAAATGCCCAAGAAAGTAGTGTATGCGCATGCTGTGTTAGATAACGCCACCATGCATCTTGTGATGCCTCTATTGCCTTCTTTGCTGCAGCAAAAAAGTCTCCTGCATGCAATGAGGATAGGAGTCCTGCTGCTGCTGCTGCTGCTCTTGCTGCTGCACTTTCTTCTCCTTCTCCTCCCTGCTGCTGCTGCTGCTGCTGCTGCTGCTGCGTATTATTATTATTATTAAATAAAGAAGGAAATAATATACGTAAGAAAGAAAACCCTAAAAAAGAACTTTTTTTTTTTTTTTCTTCTTTTTGTCTCCTTTCTCTTGCTGCTGCTGTCTCTAATAAAAACCCTAATGAGGGACTAATTAGTACTTTTTTTTTGTCTCCTGCTGCTGCTGCTGCTGCTGCTGCTGCTGCTGCTGCTGTTGGTGCTGCTGCTGCTGTGTCTCCTTCTATCTGGACTGCTGCTCTTTTATCTGCTGCTGCTGCTGCACTTGCTGCTGATGCAGCAGAAGCAAGCTCCTGTATTATCCTCCATAGATCAGCATACCAGCCTATGCTGCCCCCTAGCAGCAGCGCAGCAGTATTATTCCCTGTAGGTCCTCCTATACCCCCTAATCCGTTGCTGCTGCTGCTGCTGCTGCTGCTGCTGCTGTTTTGTACAGCATTAGTAGCAGCAGCAACAAACCCAGCAAGTGTACTACTTGTATCTTGTACAACATCTCCTGGTGCTGCTGCTGCTGCAGCAGCAGGAGGAGGAGTAAGAATAGGATTAAATAGTGCAGCAGCAGATAAACCTTCTTGTTGATGAGTTAATAAGGAAGATATACGATTAATTGTATGTTTATATGTATATGTCTGCAGCACATGCAGATCTAGCTGCTGCTGCGCTGCTGCTAATAAGGTAATTAATTCATTATATATATTTAGGCAAAAAAAACAAATAATAAATAAAAAAAGAAAAAAAAAAAGAAATATAACTAATATAGCTACAAATGGATGTATATATGCTCCTGCTGCTGCTGCTAATTGCATGCAGCAGCAACGATATACACCGCTTATATATGCATGCACACGGCTAGACCTGAACAGACACAGCAGCAACAGCAGCAGCAGCAGCAGCAGCAGCAGCAGCAGCAGCAAGAGGAGGAATAAGAGAACAAGAAGAAGAACACGACAGAGGGAATTACTGTCTCCTTCTTACTGTCTCCTTTTTACTGTCTCCTTATTACTGTCTCCTCCTCTACTGTCTCCTTACTGTCTCCTCTACTGTCTCCTTATTACTGTCTCCTTATTACTGTCTCCCTATTACTGTCGCCTCCTCTACTGTCTCCTCCTTAGTGTCTCCTCCTCTACTGTCTCCTCCTTAGTGTCTCCTCCTCTACTGTCTCCTCCTCTACTGTCTCCTCCTTACTGTCTCCTCCTCTACTGTCTCCTCCTTAGTGTCTCCTCCTCTACTGTCTCCTCCTCTACTGTCTCCTCCTTAGTGTCTCCTCCTCTACTGTCTCCTCCTTAGTGTCTCCTCCTCTAGTGTGTCCTGCTTAGTGTCTCCTTTTTATTGGTCTCCTTATTTATTGTCTCCTTATCTATTTATTGTCTCCTCTTTTTAGTGTCTCCTTTTATTAATTAATTAATTTATTTATTTATTTATTTATTTATTTATTTATTTATTTATTTATTTATTTATTTATTTATTTGTCTCCTGTCTCCTTACCATGCAAATTGTCCTTTAAGGAATCTTCTTCCCCTAAGAGGCAGCAGCAGCAGCTCGAGCAGCAGCAGCAGCAGCAGCAGCTCGAGCAGCAGCAGCAGGAGCTCATAAATAGTAAATGAATAGAATAGTAGACGGTGCAGCAGCAGCAGCAAGCAGCAACGATGCAGCAAGGCGAACCATGGTTTACTAGGTAGACAAACAGCAGCAGGTCGTGAAGGCAGCAGCAGCTGCTGCAGGGGCAGCAGCAAAAAGGAGACAAAGGAGACACTTATACGCATAGATAGGGACTGCAGCACAAACATAATTATATTATTTATTCTTTGTTTAATACAATACAGCAAACGTAGCAGCAATCGTTGCTGCTGCTGCTGCTGCTGTTGTTGCTGCTGCTGTTTGTGCTTGCTGCTGCTGCTGCTGCTTATTTCTGTATAAGAAGGAGACACAGGATCATCTTCTTGCTGCTGCTGTCTCCTTTTCTTGTTACGATGAACAGACACAGGAGGAGAAATACTAGCAGCAGCAGCAGCAGCACCATCTGCTGCTCCTGCTGCTGTTGCTGCTGTTGCTCCTTCTGCTGCTGCAGTTGATGATTCATCTGTTGCACAGTTTATCTCTTGTCCTCTATTGCTGCTGCTGCTGCTGCTGCTGTTGCTGTTGCTGCTGTTGCTGTTATCATCTGTAAGAGGACGTGATTCTTGCTGCTGCATAAGCAGCAACAACGGTTGCTGCTGTTGCTGCTGTTGTTGCTGCTGCTGTTGTTTTGCTGCTGCATCTCTTGACCATTTAAGACGAATAGCTCTCTTCTTTGCTGTTGGTGTATTTGCTGCTCCTGCTGCTGCTGCTGCTGCTGCTGCTGCTGTTGATGTTTCTTCTGTTTGCTTCTGATTATCCACTCCTGCTGCTGCTGCTGCTGCTGCAGCTAATTCACTTAAACCCTCTAAACGTGGAGATTTCTGCACTTGCTGCTGCACTTGCTGCACTTGCTGCACTTGCTGCTGCTGCACTTGCTGCTGCACTTGCTGCACTTCTTGCTGCACTTCTTGCTGCTGCAGTTGCTGTATATCTTTATATTCTTTATGTATAATAGTTATATCTCTTATTATTCCTTTTTTCTGTCTCTGTTTATCCCCATTAATTCCCTCTTGTTGCTGCTGCACTTGTTGCTGCACTTGCTGCACTTGCTGCACTTGCTGCTGCACTTGCTGCACTTGCACTTGCTGCACTTGCTGCTGCTGCACTTGCTGCTGTTTATCCTGTTTACCTAATATAGCAAAACAAATATGCCTAATAGGTATAGAGAATATAATAGCCCAGAATAAAGAAAAGACATAATAAGATAATATATAATAATTAATAAATAAACATATACATATAAATATACATAATATATATACTATACAATGTACTAATGCTACCTCACTCTCATATGCTAAACGGTATGAATCTAGCACTCCTCCTCCTCCTCCTGCTGCTGCTGCTGCTGCTCCTCCTGCTGCTGCTCCTGCTGATCCTCCTGATCCTCCTGATCCTAATGATCCTACTTGTGGGGGGGAAGAAGAGAAAAAGGGAGATGGTTGTTGATGGGGGACTCCTCCTGCTGCTGCTGCTGCTGCTGTTGGTGCTGCAGCAGCAGCAGCAGCAGCAGCAGAAGATGTGGGGACAAACATTATTGATTGGAGAATTTGTACAGCAGCAACAGCAGCAAGTGCTGCAACAGCAGCAGCAATAGTATATGGTGGTGCTGCTGTTGTTGTTCGTCTGTTGCTGTATTAAGGGACACCTGTTGTTATATACACACAATTGTATCTGCTGCTGCTGCTGCTGCTGCTGCTGCTGTTGACGCCATTGCTTCTGCTGCTGCTGCTGTTGCTGTTGGTTATGTGTATTTGCATGCAAAGAGGGATGAGCAGGAAGAAGCAGAGGGAGATAGATAAAGATTATATCTATACACACAATAACAACAGCAGCAGAGCTAGCTGCTGCTGCTGTTGCTGCTGCTGCTGCTGTTGCTGCTGCTGCTGCAGCAAGAGATATGGTAGTGTATGAGGAGGAGATAACTATTAAAGAGTTGCTGCTGCTAGCAGCAACAGCAGCAACAGCAGACACAGCAACAAGAAAAGGGCTATTTATATATGCGCTGCGGCTTGTTGTTGCTGCTGCATGCATGCATGCAGCAGCAAATTGTTGAGGTGTACATACACCTCAATGAAGCAGCAAATGCAGCAAAATGATGTCTATGTCTTCTCTTCTTATAGTGCTTTGCTGCAGCAAACGTGTGTATACATGCTGCTGCTGCTGCGTCTCTGTACAGCAGCAGCAGCAGCAACAGCAGCAGCTGTAGCAGCTGTAGCTGTAGCTGTAGCTGCTGCTGCTGCTGCTGCTGCAGCAAGAGGAAGTTAATAATAAAGGAAACAGCAATGTGTACAGCAAATAAGAATTATTTTTTGTCTTTTTTATTAATAAAAAAATAATTAATAATAATTATTAACTATGCATGCAGCAGCAACAGCAAGACGATCCCGCTGCTGCTGCTGCTGTTGCTGTTGCTGCTGTTGCTGCTGCAGCAACGAAGACAATAGAGAAAAGAAATAGACCAACAAAGCAAAGACAAAACTATAATATTATTAATATATTTATAGTAGCAGCAATGTGCTTGCTGCTACTGCTGCAGCAGCAGCAGCAGCAGCAGGTTAAGCAGCAGCAGCAGCAGGAGCTGATGGTGTTGTCGTAGCAGCAGCAGCAGCAGCTAATTATAGTTGCTGCTTTTGCTGCTGCTGTGTGTATATAATAAAGATTAAATAAATAATAAATTAAATTAAATTAAATATTTGCTGCTGCTGCTGCTGCTGCTGCCTCCGTCTCTGTGTGTATACATATATATACATACATACAGGTGTGTTGTTGTTGCAGCAGCAGCAGCAGCAGCAGCTATTTCGCATCAGCAGAAGCAGCAACAGCAGCAACAGCAACAGCAGCAGCAGCAGCAGCAGCAATTAGATGTGTTGTTGTTTGTCAGTTATTATATATTATCTTCTTTATTATTATATTATTTATTTGCTGCTGCTAAGGAAAGAAGAAGGTAAGAAGTATATTCTTTTTGCTGCTGTTGCTGCTGTTGTTGCTGTTGTTGCTGTTGTTGCTGCTGCTGTTGAGCTGCTGTTGCTGCTGTTGCTGCTGCTGCTGCTGCTGCTGCTGCTTCTTGTTAATAAGGTGTTATGTTTTTTGCTTCTTGTATTCTTTTTACTATTTGTTTTAGTAGCAATAACAACAACAACAGCAGCAGCAGCAACAGCAGCAACAGCAGCAGCAGCAGCAGCAGCAGGAGAGCAGATAGATAGATAGAGACGGCGGAGCGTGTTAGTAAGAAGCGAGCTGCTGCTGCTGCTGCAGCAGCAGCAGCAGTAGCTACTGCTGCTGCTGCTTCGCTGCGCTACCTGTCTATCTATCTTCGCTGTTGCTGCTCGCTACCTGTCTCCTTATCTATCTTTATCTCCCCGTCTCCTTATGTGTCAGTAACTTGCTGCTGCTGCTGCTGCTGCTGCTGCTGCAGCAAATAAGGAGCAGCAGAACATTAAATGTCTTGCGGTGTCTGTCTCTCTTTCTGTCTCTTTTTCTTTGGCGGCAATCTTTATATTATTAATTCTCTCCTTTATTTATAATTATTATTTATTATAATATAAGTGTCTCCTTACCTGTCTCCAAACAGCAGCAGCAGCAGCAGCAGCAGCAGCAGCAGCAGCAGCAGCAGACTGTCTCCTTTTTTTTTTTTTTTTTTTTTTTTA